GTGTTCTTTGGATGTTTATAAAAGGAGATATGCGTGAACTATTGACAGAAGGTCATCCTGATCCCCGTTTTCAAGCTCTTTTCGTCTTCTTTTGATCTCATAACCAATCCTAGAGCTCTTTTGCCATCAAATCTTCATCATGAACCTCCCGGTGACCTCCAAATCTCTCAATCCACTCTCGGATGCATCTCGAATCATCCCGATTGCTCCTCAAGCGCCGGTTTTGAACTCTAAATTCCTGATTTTGACTCCAAATGACACAAAACTCGAACCAACACCTGCTAAACATAGCTTGAGCTAAAATTGAGACTTGTAACACCTTAAAGCTAGGAAAAACATCAAAATCCGATCCCAACACGCATCAAATGCGTGTCTAAATACGGACTTATCACATATCTTCATCCATATTAAGCTAAAATAATCATCAATCTATTCAACTTCTATTAGAGATGTTCGACATGTAGACAACTTTGTACCCTTCCTTTTGAGCTCCAAAGGCTCCAAAACTCCTTTATCATTTACTACGTATTTTGACTGATATAAAACTTGATCTTAAATACACTACACAATAAAGCTGGTCCCTTGTGAACCTTAGTTGATTTCCTTCCAAGAAAGGCTTCTTGAATAAAAAAATTCTTATTATATGTTTCATGGTTGAGTAATAATTAATTTGCTATAATTACGCCCTGAACTAACAGGAATAAATAAACATTGCACACACTGTTTATAGATGTCAAATAATTTGAAATTCTAATGAACCAAAAAAACCTTTTTGTGTGGGCGAAAGACTCTAAGAAATTAAAGATTCATAATGGATTCGGTTTAATTATGTGATCTGAGCCTTTTTTACTTTGCATGCATGCTGTAATTTTTCTTCTCCTCCAATAAAAGTTGAGTACTTGAATGTGGGACTTGGAAGGTCAAAGGTGTACTAGTTTAAATGATACTCGTATGTAGTTTATTTTAAGAAACATTCTTGGTGTACACATTTTTATACACACTAGTACACCTCATTGTGATCGTGTCTGTGAGAGGTATTTAATTAAGAAAATGCTCAAAATGGGAACACAGTATAGACAAAATTTTAAAATAAAATTAAGTATGTTATCTTCCGAAAGTAGAATTTATGAATTTAGTCCTATGAAAAGAGAAACAATAAAAAATTCTTGAACAAATATGCATGAATCTTATTTAAGGAAGAAAATAATAGCACTCCTATTTGAGAACATTACATTTACTTCTCTTAAAAAAATTCTATTTTTTGTTTTAGTCGAATAAGATCATAAACATTTACATTAAATGAGATCAAATTCATATTCTGACTAAACTAAATATAAATACGCTTAGATGACCGAACATAAAACAAAGATTAAGATTCGGGGTTTTTACAGGAATATTACTAAAATAAAACTTACTTACATAAATATGACTATTCATTACTACAACGTAGTGTTGTGGTAACTTAAGTTCAAAACTTGAACATGAATTACTATGATTTCATTACTACTCTAGTAACTAATTATATTTTTGTAAATCATCTTTATTTTGGTCATATTTATGTAATTATTTCTTAAGATTCATATCAAATAAAAAATAGGATTAGATTTGAAACATTTAAATCAGAACAATAATTTTTTATTAGATATTTGTTTTGTCAATCGTTAATGTTATTATTATTATTATGGTTGCTGCTGAACTGCTATACTATTATTATATTATATTATATTATTATTATTTATTCATTATAACTAGTTTTTTTTTTTTTTTTTGAGAAGTATTCATTACTAGTTGTTGTATTACGTATTACTGCATCATTTTATTTTATAGGAGCATATCAATGTAAGTTAACTGTTACTCGTAAGTTTTAGAATGATGTCAAGATTAGCCGATTAGGCATACGAATTGATCGATTAGACTGTTTTCAGTGCCAGATCAGACCAGACCAGATCAAACTTGACTTCCGTAGTTATAAAATACACAGAGAGCAGACATTTACCAGACCAGTTCAGACCAGACCAGATCAGCAAATTTCAGTCCAAAAGAAATCATCCAAAATAGTCACATAAGGCACTTTGTATTTGATTGCTTTTTATAAGTAGACATACTTATATGAGACTTTGTTGAGTACATGACATTATGTGACAATTTCATAATACTAGGTCTTATTTGATCATTTTCCCATCTAAGAATTAAACTTGACAGTCAACACCCACTATTTAAGTTGTACTCTGTATGTTTGTACAGATATTGTTATGTGATTAATTAAAATGTTAAACTATTTTTAATAAATTATTAAGCGACCATTGAACAATCATTTCAATGGAATTAAATAATGTTGAAAAACAAATCCTAGTTCAAACTTCAGAATCAAACCTATTGATAATTGATGGCACAACTACATGATATGAGAAGAGTTTTTGTGGCACAACTACATGATATGAGAAGAGTTTTTCTGATTTAATCCTATTCTTTTTATCTGATTTAAATGAAATAAGGAGAAGGTTATATGTGCCCACTATCAACGATTGCTTTTAGTATAGCAGTAACTCCAATAAGACAGTAAGTTTCTAAGTGTTACGAACCATACTTCACTCTTTTAAAAACGGGAAATTAAGAGGTTAATAACTAATTATTAAAAAAAAAAGGTTAATAACTAATGAGCAATTCGCAAACCACGCGTGGAAATGTGCATAAAATTGATTTTTTTATTTTATATACAACGTAGGGAAAAAGTTTAAAGTATAACATTAAATAAAAAACATTGAATAGAAACTAAAGCAATTAAATGAATGAAATAACTAATGGAATAAGGGATAAGGCTCAAATTAGACACTATGGTTTCATCAAAATATCATATTAGACACTAAGGTTTCAAATGGACCAAATTAGACACTATAGTTTCATATATATCTCATATTGGACACTAAAGTTTCATAATTCATAGTTTTTGGACACTCACTTATATTGGATAAAGATCAAATTGGACACTCACTTATATTGAATTATGAAACTTTAGTGTCCAATATGAGATACATATGAAACCATAGTGTCTAATTTGGTCTATTTGAAACCTTAGTGTCCAATATGAGATTCTGATGAAACCATAGTGTCCAATTTGAGCCTTATCCCATGGAATAATTATACTCCGTTAGTAATTCAAAGGCCACACATACATCGTTAATAACTCTGCCGTAGTGCCATTGGAATTTGACGGATGTGAAGGAAAAGTTAGAGTGTGAATTATGAATGGTACACTAATCAAAACATATTGTACTGATTTAGTGTTACACTAACATTTTTATTATTCCTAAAATGTCATAACCATCATTGATGTTTGTAAATTTTTAGATTTAGATATTACGAGAATCAAACTATTTTAGTAAAATTTGTTTCAATTAAACAAAAATTATTCTCACTATTTCGTCATCGTTAGACTAAAATGGCAATTTTAAAAGAAATACCAAAAGTGAGATAAATACAATAATTAAGAGCATGTTTGGTTAACCCCAATTTTTTTATTTATTATTAGTCTTATCAACTAACTTTTTTATTAAACACATACTACATCCATCCCATAATGTCTCATGTGTAAGATGCATGTAGATTTGGTGCGAATAAAGAAATAAATGATAAAGTGGTTATTTTAATTTATATAATTCGAACCTTCAAAAAGTAAGAAAGACAAAAGAGATGCACAAAAAGTAAACGGTGAAATGTTAGTTAAAGAGATAAAATGGGATGAATTTTTTTTTTAATTTTAGCACTGCATTGGGTAATAATAAAAATAAATAATGCTAAAGTATTTTTAACTAAAATTATAGAACATAGTTATTTTAGCTATTTTATATCACATTTAATTTGTTTACATATTTATACTTATATAATACTATGTTCGTCCCTTTTAGAAGTCATCATTAACTTCTCTAGTTAATGATGCTAGAATTTGATCTATCACTTTAACAAAAAAACATTTTCATACCATTTTCATATTATAAATGAATTCTTATAAAAATATATAATCAATCAAATTGTAAGATCTTTGATTTAAAGATCTCTAACTAAAAAGGGGGCGGATTGAGTATATTTTAAAGGAAAATTTCTATAATTCAGTATATTTAGTATAATTTCTATAACTCGATTGTCTCAATTATAATCTCATTAATTTCATCAAATTCAACTTATTCCAATAATTTAGTCAATTTCTATATTACCAAATGAGGTCTACATAATTAAGAGGTTGTTTGGTAACACTAAGATCAGATAAATTGTCGAGTCCGCGAGGGTGAAATCAGATAATTAAAAGGCCGTTTGTTAAAATTTATGAAGTTCTTGATGAAGTGACTATAATGGCTGATTGTACTGATTTATGAAAAAAAATATACTTAAAGTATATTTTATTAATAAAATAAAAAAAATTAAAAAAAAATAGCTCAAATGATCACCTACAGGAACTTCAGTCAATACAGCCAGAAAAGTAACTTAAATCTTATTTCTTCTTATTATTACACAATTCAGCGCATGAAATAAAAACTTACGTGTTTGATTAAAAAGATGACGGTTAAATGTGATAAGTCGAAAAACAAAATCAGCATTCTAATGTGACTTTTTTTATCACTAAATGTTACAAAAATTAAAAGATACTCCCTCTGTCCCAAAATTATCTTCATAGTTACTATTCACATGGTCAACTCAAATTACTCTTAATCTTTTACTTTATATATCAAATTTTTATCAAATTTAAATTTTCTTGATCGGGCTTTGTAGCAGTTTTAATGTAGTTTCTGAATATGTAAATTTTATTTACTAAAAATAATCCGAGTGTGAACAGGGATCGAGTTGCTTTATCGTCAGTCAAGCATCGTAAACCGAACTATGAAGATAAATATGGGACGGAGGTAGTACAATGATTTTTTTTTGAATAGATGTAATGATAATTTTGAAACAAAAAAGATACCCTAATTTGGAGGAGTAACGATTACGGAGTAATTTTCTTCCCTTACATTTCGGCATCTGTTGTAGGCTGAAGTAGCTGGTTGGGTTCACATTTCCATTTCTTTCATCGCCACTCTGTCTTTTACGCTTTTCTCTCTCTCTCATCCTTTCCGCCAGTTCATCACAATCCTTCTACATTACTAGTAGATTTGCTGTATTCATTGAATTCTCGCTGAAAGTGTGATCGATTGCTTCCTCACCGTGTTGTGCCGGTGGGTGGGGGTTCACGGGGAGCTTCCGGTCCGGCGATTTCACCCTCGGCGGACGCGGCTCCCAGGAGAATGCGAATTCGATTTCTAGGCCTTTGGACGGCTTGGCCTTCCTTCATGCGTGATTCCAGTGGTGGGAACTGAGTTTAGTTCTCCCTTCTCAAAGCTACTTTCGTTTATTAATTTGTTTTTCTGGTGTGATCAACTTTACGGCGCGGTTCCACATTGCGGCGGGATAGTTTAGGGTTCTTATCTAGAAGCAAGGGTTTCTTCGAGGTGAAATTTGCTGCCTTTAAGTTGAGGTACCCGTGAAAAGGAAAGTAAAATGTGTTCGCTTCTTCGGTTGTTCGTCGTGGCTATTTCTTTCCATTTTTTGCTCTGATTTTCGGATCTCAACCACATTAAAGACACATTGTTTCAGTAATTAAAGTGGCTCAAGCAGATAATTGAGGGGCTCTGATTGCAATTTTAGTTCATTGGCGACTGACTATACGAGGTTAGGGGTCTGGATTTGATCTTTAGTCGCTTAAAGGGAAAAGGGTTCCTAAACTTGCGACTTTACAACAGTTTAAAGCATTGGCCTGTCTCTCTTTATTTATTATCTGGAGAATTAATTCTTCTTTTTGTGATAAACATTTACCGTTCTGTTTGGCCATTAGAATCTGATTCTTCTACGGATATTCTGAATTTGAAGCCCTAAAGCAGGTCAATTGTCATTGTGAAGTTTCTTCATCAATTGAGGTAATACTATAACAGCTATTCCAGTCAAAATTTTGCTTCTCTCACCAGTCTGCATCCAAAAAAGATCTTGTTCACTTTGCTGATTCATCCACATTGAGTGTGGGGGGTATAATTGGTGGTTGTTATTGGATTGTATTCTGAAGCCTTCCTTCCATGGGGCTTCTGGGAGGTCTTTCAATCCAATTTCTCATATGGTTTTTCTGGTTGCCACATTTAGCCGGTGCTAAGCTACCTGCTTCCTCACGTGCGCTAGATGCACTCCTCCAAGACTATGCTTACCACGATGCATTTGGTCAACGCCCCAAGACAGGTGTGATTTATGACGGAACTGCCCCTTCAAATCTAACAGGGATTAAGGTTTCCGTGTTGAGGCTTAGGAGTGGTAGCTTAAGGAGGAGAAGTGTGACCTACAAAGAGTTTGAGTTACCTGTTGGTGTTGCAGGGTACCCTTATGTCACAAGGCTTGCCTTAGTCTATCAGAACTTGGGAAATTGGTCTCTCAAGTACTATCCTTCACCATCCGGATACATGTATTTATCACCTGTGATCGGTCTTCTTGCATATGATGCGTCAAACCTGTCTGCCACAAATTTGCCAGAGTTGAATCTCACGGCAACAGGTCAGCCCATTTCCATAAGGTTCCCAGAAGTGAAGTCAATACCCGGTGGTTCCACTCCCAAGTGTGTCTCAATTGATCTGAATGGCTCTTTTAGTTTCGGCAATGTTTTATCAGGAAACATATGTAACACCTTCAAACAAGGACATTTCTCTATTGTGTTCGAGTCTGTTGCTCCTTCTCCTGCCCCAGTGTCTCTTTCACCAAAACCGCCACCTCTAGGAGCTCCTCCAAAGCAGGAACATAAACCGACGGGACACAAGAAGTCGAGAAAGGTTGGGATCATATTGGGGTCGGTGGTTGGAGGGTTGGCGGTTTTGGGTTTGTTGGGAATTCTTATGGTGTGTGCGTGTGTGTATAGAAGGAAGAAGAAGCTGCAAGAGATGGAAATGGCTTCTGAGGTTGGGGAAGGGTTACCTATGACCCGGGTTGGAAGCACAAAAGCACCTTCTGCTCCTGTTACAAGAACCCAACCCACATTGGAGACCGAATATGTCCCCTAAATCTCTATCTCTCTTTCAAGATGTGTATACTGCCAGCTCCTCCTCTTGATTACGATCCATTCGCTTACCAGTTTCATCCACACAGTTAAATTCTTCTTTGACAACATTTTGTTTGTTCATTCATTTTTTCTGCTGGTAGTGGTGTGTAGGTAGTACAGACAGGGTTATTGTGTACATAATAATCGTCTGTTGCCTTCCACAAATTGTTCAGATTGTGATGATTCGTTTGTGGTGTGCGTTTAGGCTCTCATTTTTACTCCCCTCCCGCATTGAGAAAGGAATAAAATTTGTTGTTAGTTTCTCATTTGCAACTTCATTCTCTACTGTTGCTTCCAGGTTTAAGCTTTTATTATAAGTTGAGTGTATAACACTTTTTTCAGGCAGGTGTGAACCTGATTGCAGAATCGGCCGGTAAAGAATCTGGCTGATTGCCCGATTTTTGCATGCAGGGCTCTGGAACTGGCATCCGAAATTGGCCCCAAACTGGCTGCGCCAAAATATGACCACAACTAATGGTCCGGGCTCGTACTATGTTTTTGCTAAAAATCAAAACTGGGTTTCTCGGTTAATGTTTCGGTTCTCTTCCCTGCACCTACTCTAAACCTGCCAGTGAGGCAGTGAGTACCTCTGCCAAATCGGAACTGGCTCGGGTGCACCCTATTCCCGGGTTAATTATTGGCGTGGTATTGTTTTTTCTCTTTAAATTGTGTTTGTATTGTGAAGGACGAGGGAGAAGGTTAACGGTCTTCAGAGCTTTAGGCCATGGGTTGACTGTATGCTTTTTAGATGCTTCTAGACTCTTTTACAAGCATTTATTGGTGACATATGAAAGTTTGTTGTTTTCTATCGAATATTGCACAAAAGCTACAATAATGTAGGTATATATATATATATAGTACTCTTCCGGTCAGGAATTCCTGACCGGAACCGCCGTCCGGACGGTGGTGTTTGGCCGCCTTCTGGGTGGAATTTTTCGATGAAATTTTTATGACATGTTCTTCATCAAGTCTAGTTTATCCACAAAAAATTCCAGCCAAAAACTCATTCGGGAAGGTCGTCAAATGATTTTTGCAAGTTAACTGGTCCGGAAAATACATATTCCGGACCAGTTAACTTGCAAAAAACATTTGACGACCTTCCCGATTGAGTTTTTGGCTGAATTTTTTTGTGGATAAACTAGACTTGATGGAGAACATGCCATAAAATTTTCATCAAAAAATGTCACCGGGAAGGCGGCCAAACGCCACCGTCTGGACGGTGGTTCCTGTCCGGAATTCCGGACATGAATAAAATTCTATATATATATATATATATATATATATATATATATATATATATATTTAGATTATAGGTATTTCGAGAATATGGCGTGATTTGGTGCCCTAACCGCTGGGTGCTTGTCGAGCGTCCAATGGACATGGACTTATATTTATATAATGGCACTTATTGTGTTTGTGACTGAGACCGGTGATAAGAAATAAACATGCTTCGTTTGAGTGATAAATTGCAACCCATGTGCGGGTAGAGCAAAACAAGAATGCATTGCAGTACGTTTGGGATATTTTGGTTCAAGAGTCGAGAGATCAACCCAACTCATTGACTCAGAAATGTATATCTGGTACCCATTCGAGTTGTTCAATGGGTTCTAGGCGAGGAGGCTAATTGAGATTTGTAGTTCGAATCTTCACGACGGACAGTGTGAGGATTTCACTCAATCCTCACTCGACCACCTCTTTGAAAAAGATGTTTGAGATGAAAACGTAATTATCTTTCAACCACTATGTAGGCAGTAGGATTAGGATCTTGGGATGGTGGATTGCACCTTTTGAGTTGAAATAAATATCTTGTACACATAGCAAATTAATGGGGGTGTGCATAATTCACCATATTGATATGTTATTGGATTACAATCTTGAAATTGAAATTACAATTATATAGTACTTAAAAAAATGTACAAATGAATATCTTGTGTGTGCATAGGGAGGGCTCAAACACGTATGGATTTCGACAACTATGACTGAGATATGGGTTTATAGGGAGGGCTCTTCTATTGCACTTAGGGTTGGTTTTTAGTTAGGATTATATGTCCTTTTGTATTTTTTTCCCCTGTTTTGTTGCTTTTGTTTATCTTGTACTTCCCTTATTTGTTCTTTAATAAAACTTTCCTTTTAAAAAAAAAAAAATAGGAATGTGCATAATTCACAATTTTTTTTATTTCTTTTCCGGTTTAAAATATTGAAACTATCGCCACGCAACAATTGGAATGTGTCAAGTGTGTCTCGTGTGCACATTAATAGGAGTGCGCATAATTCATCATGGGTTACAAATTTTACAATTTTGCACCTATAATGGTGTGTCAAATGAACATTAGGAGTTTACATAGCAACTTTCTTGACAATTGAGAATTTGAGATTTGAGACTGAAGATCGTTTTTTTTTTTACTCCAGGGGGTATGGGGGGCCTGGAGTAATCAGGGCTGAAACTCACTCTATTGAGTTTCGAACCCTTATGTGCCTAGCGGGTTTCGAACTCAAGACTGAAGATCGTTCAATTTGAGATCAGGTGGTCAATGAGCATGACTAGTGAAAGAGAGAATTGGGTTGGGATAGGGAGAGCCGGAGCAATTCGAACTATTTGAACTATTTGATTCTTAATCCGGCAGTTTAATGCAAAAAGCATGATAGATGATAGGATCAGGAGAAATCTCAATCTAAGATAGAATGGCCCTTAAGTGTGCTACACAAGTTCCGGGCCGGGGCCGGCTAGTTTTTTGGCATGTGCTGGAAGCATTTTTCCAGTTCGGAACAAGAGTCTGTCCAAACCCGATCATCCCATGCATATAGGTTACAAATGATTTATGAATTGAACTGTTATTGGATCTGAATCCATCAGTTTTGCCTGAACTGGAACTTGCCAGTGTCCACTTGATCCTAGTCTAGACTCTCTGAGTTACAAGGAGCTAGCTACTTATCAATTGTGACAAGCAGCAAATCAACTTCCATCCCTGTTTGTAATCTTAGTTCACATGGCAGCCATGAATGTCGTTTGACTCATGGTCTCATTGTCGTCATGGGTTCTTTATAAGTATCTATCAGTCTCAATTGCAGTCCTTATCTGAGTTGTTCAGAAGATAGAGAATTTATGTCACGTAGCCAAAGGGAGACGACATTGATATTTCAGGCGGTCCCATGCCTATGGCAAGGAAGCCTTCTAATTTGTCCTATTAATTAATACGGAGTACTAGTACATACGGAGTATATATGATGTAAATAAATAACTCCAATTATTAAATGAACTTCACCGTCTTTTAAAAATGAACTTCATTGTAGGGTGGGGAGACTTGGCGCACCCGTTTCTTTGTTGCCATTTGACCTTCTCAGGGGTTCAAGTCTTGGGAACAGCTAAAGCGAAGACTTACCGCTTATTCGCTTATACACCCTTGTAGTAGGAGGACCCTTCTTAGGACCGTGGGATGCCAATGCAAACCGGACTGCCCCTTTTACTATGAGGTGGGCTAACAAACCTGGGTTCCTCAAATAAATTCTTCTCACTTTCCACCCATAATAAATGGCTAAATGCATTACTCGTTGGATGATATAAACCACAAAGAAACACGCAAGGTTGTGTCACTACATTCATTGAAGAAGAACTGAAGTTTTTTTAAAATAAAATTAAAGTTACTGTTTCAGAATCTTTTCAAGACGGATAGCGAGAAAGAAAGTCATGAACATTTTGTTACAATGGTGAGAAGCACAAACACAATCACAAAGGGAATGAATACATAAGAGGTGTTTGCACACAAAGTTCAGCAATCGAGAATGGTGAAGCTTTTTATTTTCCCACTGAATAAAGCTACCCTGCGGCATCACAAATTCAGAAGACAAGATATAAGTTCCTAAGTTCATACAAACGCACAGCCACGTCCATTATTATGTCAGAGAAATTGATACAGTTTTTAAATTAGAAACATGTGTTTTGTGTCATCTTCAAGAAAATGACACATTTTGTGAAGGCCATCATATTTATAGAGACACTTGGTTTTCTAAACAACCAAGTTGTTGATGAATTTGCACCCGGTGACCCAGACATACTCTCTGTACCCGTAAGAGAAACTAAGAAGTAAAGACTTACAGATTTTGCAGGAATGGGTCATCTCAATTACATTTCACTCTCATACATAAACACACTAAAAGACATCTTTAAAGCATCAGATTGCAGAAGTCTTTGATTGACAATACATCTAAGTTCACAAAATCATACATAGTGAGACAAACAGCGAAACAAAAAACGTGTTTATGATCTTAGTTACTAGGCTCCTTCCTGTGTTTCTCCCTGTGGTCTGAATTAAGGTGATATTGTTTTGTTGTTAACCAAGGGAACCCACACCCCTGGTCCGGCAAAGGCCACCACAGCACAATTGTTAAGGAGCCCGACCAACGGCGCTTAAAGGTAGGAGTTGAACACCCAACCCGTAAGCCCATGCAGCAAGGAAAATCCTCCCTAACGAATCTGGATGTTGCAGGTGGGAAGGTAGACCCAAGAAACTTAAGAGTGCTACTTTCTCCACTGGACTACCACACTCCAAGTTTCTTTTTAAAATTATCAATGACATGCATCTATTACATATTAATTTAGAAACAAAGTACCTCCCAGTGCCAAAATACGAATTAAAACCCAAGACAAACTAATAATCTAGGCTATTGGTGATATTTTTTCCATTTCTATATAAGTGGCATTTAGAAACAAAGTACCACCCAGTGCCAAAATACGAATTAAAACCCAAGACAAACTAATAATCTAGTCTATTGGTGATATTTTTTCCATTTCTATATAAGTGGCATTGAGTAATTCCAATATTTCTTGACGCATTCATTGATTTTACTCAACATTACTCATATTCACCTATACTTGATTACAACTAAGGAGATTTTGGTTAATAGAAAGACAGGTAAGACTATTCTTATGAATCTTGCCTTAAAATGTTTCAATTAATTCCTGCGCAGACCTGGTGTGTTGCACTTTTCAGAAACGGAAAGAGTACAAAGCATCATGCTAAGTTGGAACAAGCTATATAGGGGAACAATAAACACACAAAACAAACCCTTGGTGGAAGTGGGGGCCTAATAAATCATAAATAGTTTATTTTACTTATTAAATATACAGGCAGTAGAAGTGAGTAGGTGAAATTGCCCTAATCAGGAATTTACATCCAACCAAAATCACCAAAATTTGGCAAATTTGACAGCTCTACTCACTCAAAATGTTTAATTTGAGCAACCATACATCAACCTTCTTCAATGCATACTAAATGAAGCAGTTAGCTTTATTGTCCTTTTTCTTCAATGAATAATGGCAATTTCTTGTTAACCAAAGCAAACTCCTCACCTACACAACCTGATCTCTTTTAGATAACGTGCACTACCCTCTCCAAAACAGTTTCAATAAATTTTGTGAAAGATAAAAACATATGATGAATGACCCACTGATTTCTGTTGATTGATTAGTGCATTTCATTTCATATTTCATTAACTATTTCTTAACATACAAAGCATTCTTCTCGAGTTTCAAAATCTTATTGAGCTAAAAACATACATAGATAGTGTTGAGAAGCTTCAAATCTTACTGAGCTAAAAACATACATAGATAGTATCAAGTTGACGTGAGATAATGTTAAAACCACATTTGACAGATATTAGAGCAGTATCCAGAGAGAGCGTGTTTTAGCTCAGGATTAGAGGTTTATGTGTAGAACCACGATAGTCTGTAAATTCTTTATGAATTCCTTACGGCCAAGGAATAAGGGGTTTCTCCTTTATCCATAAGCTTTCCAGCACGGATAGAATCGACCACTTAGATCTATGGCTAAAAGTCCCCCCCCCCCCCCCCGTTAGAATTCAACTAAGATTTGATGGTAGAATCATTTTCCCCATTGAATTCACTTAATGTTTGACATTTAGTAGCTAATAATAGCATA